TCCCTAAATGTAAAATAAGCAATCAACACAATATGTCAAAGGTCAAGGTCAAAGCGTTTACTTGTCATATGCACAGTTAGGAAACGCATTTCCCTGTACAATGAAATTCTTACTTTGCCGTCCACATGAATGCCACACAACACATGTGAAATATAAAGTAGATGAGCAATAACAAATCTAAATATACTGTATAATAAAGGATGACACTTAAATGATGGAAACTGTTGTAACCAAACTCCCCACAGACAGTATCAAGTGTTCAGTTCCATAAAATGAGCTGGACTGTCATTGTGAGATGGTATAAATGCAGGTAGTTGTGTCACATGATCATGAAATAGGCTGTGATATAATTCACTCTGCAACTCTTTCATAGATTATGTCATCAGTGTTTTGATGCATATGACTTTGTGGACTGTTGTCACAAAGACACCAAATTATTCATTAATGGCACAGTGTAGAAAAAGGACAAAATTACAATAAATAGTAGCAATTATAAAGCATAATTCATGATTTATGAAAGAGTAACACTATTATAGGGACAAGAGCTTAATACAGAAATCATACATTTTGAGTTTTTCCAGACAAAAATAGAAGAATCAAGCCCAGGAGTTTCATCAGTCTTTACCCAGAATCAAATGCCAACAAGAGGAAATTATCCTTCAGATTTAATATCTGATGGCAAGCTGTTCTATAGCTTGGGGCCTGCAATTGCAGGCCTGTAAGCTTTAGCCTAGATCTTGGTACCTCCAACAATAACTGGTTAGAAAACCTCAGAGATCTTCCTGCAAAGCAGGGATGTCAGAGTTCAGCACTTCTTCTGTCTTTAGAGAGTATATAAGAGGATTGAGCAAAGGTGGTATAGTGTGTATCAAAGTATAGTTTATGATCCTGGCATTTGAATGGATGTAGAAGGTCAGAGCAGCTATGTTGGTGCTAAGATTGGGTAGGAAAAAAATTGCCACAAGAATCAAGTGAGAAGTACAAGTTTTAAAAGCTTTGACTCATTCCTTTCCTGATGCAATCCTGCTCAGTGCTATGGCAATGCAAATATATGTCAGTGCTATTAATGCAGGAGGAAAAGGAGGTATGTTAAAGGGGAGCAAATTGCCATATGCCATAATCACAAGTGTCCATGACCGCATACTGCCAAAAAATACAACAAAAAATATATAACTTAAACAAGTCTCATAGAGACGATCAGTTAGCCCAACCATGCATGTTATTAGACTCAAAAAAAAACAAAAAAAAAAACACACATAAACAGCAGCATTGCAGCAATAGTTGGTTTAGTCACAATACTATGAT